CTCAAAAACAACAAACAAACAAGCATTTCTTAGGATGTAGAGAAACCAGAAGCTTTGTGTGCTGTTAGTGGGACTGTAAAATGATGCAGCCATTATGGTTATAAGAAACAGTATGGGCCGGGCGCGGTGGCTCAAGCCTGTAATCCCAGCACTTTGGGAGGCCGAGACGGGCGGATCACGAGGTCAGGAGATCGAGGCCATCCTGGCTAACACGGTGAAACCCCGTCTCTACTAAAAATACAAAAAACTAGCCGGGCGAGGCGGCGGGCGCCTGTAGTCCCAGCTACTCGGGAGGCTGAGACAGGAGAATGGCGGGAACCCGGGAGGCGGAGCTTGCAGTGAGCTGAGATCCGGCCACTGTACTCCAGCCTGGGCGGCAGACCGAGACTCCGTCTCAAAAAAAAAAAAGTATGGAGGGTCCTCAAAAAATTAAAAATAGAACTACCATATGATCTAGCAATCCCAATTCCGGATATATAATCAAAAGAATTAAAAGCCGGGTCTCAAAGAGATTATTTGTACACCCATGTTCACAGCAGCATTATTCACAATCGCAAGAGATAGAAGCAACCTAATGGCCATTAATGGATGAATGGATAAACCACATGTGATATACACATACAATAGAGTACTATTCAGCCTTAAAAAGGAAGGAAATCAGCCGGGAGCGGTGGCTCATGCCTGTAATCCCAACACTTTGGGAGGCCAAGGTGGGCGGATCACGAGGTCAGGAGATGAGACCATTCTGGCTAACATGACCCCGTCTCTACTAAAAATACAAAAAAAAAAATTAGCCGGGCGTCTGTAGTCCCAGCTACTCGGGAGGCTGAGGCAGAAGAATGGTGTGAACCCGGGAGGTGGAGCTTGCAGTGAGCCGAGATCGTGCCACTGCACTCCAGCCTGGGCAACAATGCAAGACTCCGTCTCAAAAAAAAAAAAAAAAAAAAAGGAAGGAAATCATATTGTCACATGCTATAACATAACATAGGTCAGCCTTGATAACATTATGCTAAGGGAAATAAGCCAGTCACAAACAATAAATACTACATGATTCCACTTATATAAGGTATCTAAAGTCGTCAAATTCATAGAAACAGAAAGTAGAATGACAGTTACCAGTGGATGGAAAAGGGGGAAAGGGGGAATTGCTGTTTAATGGCTACAGGGTTTCTGTTTCACAAGATGAAAAAGTTCCAGAGATCTGTTTCACAACAATGTGAATCTACATAACACTACTGAACAGTACACTTACAAATGGTTAAGAGAGTAAATTTTAAATGTGTTTTTTTTGTTTTGTTTTTTGAGACGGAGTCTCGCTCTGTTGCCCAGGCTGGAGTGCAGTGGCTGGATCTCAGCTCACTGCAAGCTCCGCCTCTCGGGTTCACACCATTCTCCTGCCTCAGCCTCCCGCGTAGCTGGGACTACAGGCGCCCGCCACCTCACCCGGCTAATTTTTTGTATTTTTTAGTAGAGACGGGGTTTCACCGTGTTAGCCTGCATGGTCTCGGTCTCCTGACCTCGTGATCCGCCCATCTCGGCCTCCCAAAGTGCTGGGATTACAGGCTTGAGCCACCGCGTCCAGCCCATCTTAAATGTTTTTTGTCACAATAAGAAAAAAAAAAACTTTTAACAAAATCACTCATTTCTCTTTTTTTTTTTTGACACAGAGTTTCGCTCTCGTCGCCCAGGCTGGAGTGCAATGGTGCACTGGGCACACTGCAACCTCTGCCTTGCGGGTTCAAGCGATTCTCCTGCTTTAACCTCCCAAGTAGCTGGGATTACAGGCATGCACCGTCATGCTCGGCTAAATTTGTATTTTCAGTAGAGACAGGGTTTCACCATGTTGGCCAGGCTAGTCTCAAACTCCTGACCTCAGGTGATCCGCCCGCCTCGGTCTCCCAAAGTGCTGGGATTACAGGCATGAGCTACTGTGCATAGCCTAAATCAATCATTTGTGGGCCTCTGGACTGTGGGACTCTGGGCCTCTTAAGAACACTGCCTTTTCCCTTGATCCTACTTATTAAGAAGTTTAAGTCTAACAGGTCAGTGTCTCTTCACAGACTGGAACACCAAATCCCACCACTCTTATAAAAAGAAACAGGAACGCGGTCTCTGCAGCACCTCCCAAAAAACTATCATCACTCCTCAAAAATTCCTGGCAGACCCTGATGCAGAAAGACTACTGCTCCCTTGACTTTTACAGATTAGCTCATCCTCCAGATGCTGAGGACTTTGTGGGTTGTTTGTTTTGTTTTGTTTTGAGAAGGAGTCTTACTCTGTCGCCCAGGCTGGAGTGCAGTGGCGCGATCTCAGCTCACTGCAACCTCCGCCTCCCAGGTTCAAGTGATTCTCCTACCTCAGCCTCCCAAGCAGCTGGGACTACAGGCGTGGACCATCATGTCCAGCTAATTTTTTGTATTTTTGTAGAGACGGGGTTTCACCATGCTGTTCAGGCTTGTCTCAAACTCCTGACCTCAGGTGATCCACCCATCTTGGCCTCCCAAAGTGCTGGGATTACAGGTGTGAGCCACCACACCCGGTGACTTTGTGGGGTTTTTAAGGAGGTGCCTACATGCCTGATATGCCCGAGGTCCTGTGAGCTGGGTGGGGTCATTTGATTATCTAATCCCACAGATAGGCCACCTCACATGAACTCCCCGGCTCCAGTAAGAACATCCAGGCAACTGGTACTCCAAAGCTCACCAGCAGAACAACCATGGAGCCACCAGGGGGCACCAGACACCACAGTCAGCCATGCCCTGGGGCCCAGTCCCAGCCACCTACACAACCCGGGCTGACCCGCCTGCCTGTCTGCTCTCCACAGGGGACAGGTCTGGGTGGAAGGCTTAGGTCTCTGAATAGGTAGAGACCCCTTTGTTTATTCGTAACCTATACTGACTCTATCAGGGAAGAGCACATCAAACAATGCTAACACATTTTAATTCATATTTCCTCTGCTCCATACAGGAGCAGGACCCTGGAAGAAAGGAATGGGCACATTTACTAGGAAAACCAAGTCTTGCCCAATTAGGAGGGTCACATACTGAAGTAATCACATAAATCGTGGGCCTTAAACTTCCAAAGGGCTTGAAAACAACCCTAAGGCTGGGTGCAGTAGCTCACGCCTATAATCCCAGCACTTTGGGAGACCGAGGCAGGTAGATTACCTGAGGTCAGGGATTCAAGACCAGCCTGGCCAACATGGCAAAACCCCATCTCTACTAAAAATACAAAAATTAGCTAGGCGTGGAGGTGGGCATCTGTGATCCCAGCTACCCGGGAGGCTAAGGCAGGAGAATCGCTTGAACCTGGGAAGCAGACGTTGCAGTGAGCCGCAGACGTTGCAGTGAGCCAAGATTGCACCACTGCACTCCAGCCTGGGAAGGCAGAGTGAGATACTGTCTTAAAAAACAAACAAAAAAAAAAGATTCCTGTCCTCACCAAGCCCTGACCTTCAGGCTTCCTTCTAACGCCTTCCTTCCTCTTATACTACAAACATGCAAGTCATCTAGAAACAACTCACTTCACCCTACTTCCTCCACCTCAAGCTACCTGCCTGTACCTCCCTTAACCGAAGGGGTAGTCAGCAGCCCTACTTCTATTCCCTCACCTGCTATTCACTCCTCAAGCCATTAACTCCATGAGTGTTCACGTCTATGTGCTAGAGCTGTCCTCCAGTGGTCTAATATTCTTTTCCCTCCCTCCCTCCCTCCCTCCTTCCTTCCTTCCTTCCTTGCTTTTTTTTTCAGGAAACAAGGTCTCACTATGTTGCTAGGGCTGGTTTTGAACTCCTGGGCTCAAGCAATCCTCCTGCCTAGCCTCCCATAGGCATGAGCCTAATTTTCAAATCAAATACCTGCTTGGTCTTTTTGCATCTGGATTTCTCTGCATTATCTGACATGGTTAACAAACCTGACTTTTACCTTCCCTGACACTATACTCTTTTTAATTTGCCTATTTTTCTCACTCTTTTACATCTTCTGTTATTGATTCCTATGCGCCAACACACATACCCAGCACGTAAGAGTATGTTTTCCCCCAATCTCCTCTTAAGTCCTCCATTCTCTCTACATAGTGGTTTTCTTTTTGTATTGTACCTTTTTTATTTTTTTATTTTTTGGTAGAGACAGGGTTTCACTATGTTGCCCAGGCTGGTCTCGAACTCCTGGACTCAAGTAATCCTCCTGTCTCAGCCTCCCAAAGTGCTGGGATTACAGGTATGAGCCACCACACCAGGCTTATTTTTTTTAATATATAAAAACTTTTTTAAAAAGAGATGGAGTCTTACTATATTGCCTAGGCTGGTCTCAAACTCCTAGGCTCAAGTGATCCTCCTGCCTTGGCCTCCCGAAGTGCTAGTATTACGGCATGAGCTACCATGCCCAGTCTCTTTTTATCTTTTATTTTTATTATTATTATTATTGAGATGGAGTCTTGCTCTGTTGCCAAGGCTGGAGTTCAGGGGCATGATCTTGGCTCCCTGCAACCTCCACTTCCCAGGTTCAAGCAATTCTCCTGCCTCACCCTCCCGAGTAGCTGGGACTACAGGCATGTACCACTACGCCTAGCTAATTTTTGTATTTTTAGTAGAGACAAGGTTTCACCACGTTATCCAGACTGGTCTCGAACTCCTGACCTCAGGTGATCTGCCTGCCTTGGCCTCCCAAAGTGCTGGGACTGCAGCCATAAGCCACTGTGCCAGGCCTCTTTAATTTTTTAAAATAGAGTTGAGGTCCCACTGTGTTGCCCAGACACGTCATGCGACTTACCTATTCACCCGGCCCAAGGTATCCCAGAACGCTTCTGTGCTACCAGGCTCCTGGGCCTTGGCAGGGTGCACAAGACTCATCAGAGTCACACATGTTCATCTCCAGCCTTTGGTGAGCACCTATAAAGTCAATTCCCATTCTGTCCCCCCTAACTCCTGACCACTCCCACACACAAACGAAGAGGAGTCTGCACTTGTAGAGAAACCTACCCAGAAAATCAGAGGCCCTTACCTCACAGTAAACAATGTCCGCTCCATAATCCAAGGCCAGCAGTCTCATTGGAAGAGTCCCTACCCGAACCATTGGGGCCAGGATTAGCTTATTATGATAACACAGAGAGAGGCTATTCAAAATCATTTCCTTCTGTTACAGCCTGAAAAAAAAGGAAACAAGAGTCAGAAATTCAAATAGAGAAAATCTCTTCTGTTATCAAGAGCAGGCTTCCCTTCTTCAAGCTTCTAGCACACAGTAGTTTGTTTTCCTTTTCTTTTGGTTGGTTGTTTATGTTTGTTTGTTTTTGTTTTTGAGACAGTCTTGCTTTGTCACCCAGGCTAGAGTGCCATGTAGTGCAGGGCTCACCGCAACCTCTGACTCCCGGATTCAAGCAATTCTCACACCTCAGTCTCCCAAGTAACTGGGATTATGGGCATCTGCCACCACGACCAGCTAATTTTTGTATTTTGAGTAAAGATAGAGTTTTACAGCTGGGCACGATGGTTCACACCTGTAATCCCAGCACTTTGGGAGGCCGATGCAGGCAGATTACCTGAGGTCAGGTATTGAGATCAGCCTGGCCAATATGGTGAAAGCCCATCTCTACTAAAAAATACAAAAATTAGCTGGGCATGGTGGCAGGCACCTATAATCCCAGATACCCAGGAGGCTAAGGCAGGAGAATCATTTGAACCCAGAAGGCAGAGGTTGCAGTAAGGCAAGATGGCACTATTGTACCCCAGCCTGGGCAACAAGAGCAAGACTCCATCTCAAAAAAAAATATATATATATATGGGAGTTTCACTACATTGGCCAGGCTGGTCTTGAACTCCAGATCTCAAGTGATCCACCCACCTTGGCCTCTCAGAGTGTTGGGATTACAGGCGTGAGCCACTGCGCCTGGCCTGTTTTCCTTTTCCCTGAACATAAAAATTAGTATACATGCACATTCATTCATCTAACAAACATTTATTAAATGACTAGTCTGTGCCAGTCACTGTCCCAGTCTCCTGGGACACATTAGAGAAAAAAGAAAAAAAAACATAGAAAAATTCCTGCTCTGGAAGTTTTCATTCTTTTTTTTTTTATTTACTCAGATACATGCAGTGGAGTATCTGAAGCAGAGTTTTCATTCTAGCCAGAGAGTATAGGCAAAAAAAACCAAAAAGCATAACAAATAAGTAAACTATATAGTATGTTGGAAAACTGGTAATGCTAGAGCAGGGAGAAGGGAGATTGAAAGTGCTGGGGATGGGTTGCAATTTCAAATAGAGAAGTCAACATGGGCTTTAATGAGAAGATAAGATTTGATCAGTGAAGACCCCCTTTTTATTATAAAAATAATAAAAAGCCAGGCAACGGCTCACGCCAGTTATCTCAGCACTAAGGAGGTCATGGTGGGGAGATCTCTTGAGTTGGAGATAGTGATCAGCTTGGAGTTGGAGATCAGCCTGGGTAACATGGCAAGACCTCATCTCTACAGAAACATAAAAATTAGCCAGGAGTGGTAGTGCACGCCTGTAGTATCAGCTCCACAGGAAGCTGAGGTGAGATCACTTGAGCCTGGGTGGCAGAGGTTGCTGAGCTGAGCTGAGATCATACCCCTGCACGCCAGCCTGGGTGACAGTGAGACCCTGTCTGAAAATAAAAATAAAACTAGCCCAGGCAAGGTGCCTCACGCCTATAATCCCAGAACTTTGGGAGGCCAAGGTAGACAGATTGCTTGAACTCTGGATTTCAAGACCAGCCTGGGCAACATGGTGAAACCCCATCTCTACAAAAAGTACAAAAATTGGGCTGGGCATGGTGGCATACGTCTGTAATCCTAACGCTTTGGGAGGCCAAGGCGGGTGGATCACTTGAGGTCAGGAATTCAAGACCAGCCTAGCCAATATGGTGAAACCCCATGTCTACTAAAATACAAAAATTAGCCAGGCGTGGTGGCAAGCGCCTGTAATCCCAGCTACTCAGGAGGCTGAGGCAAGAAAATCACTTGAACCCAGGAGACGGAAGTTGTGGCGAGCTGAGATCGCGCCACTGCACTCCAGCCTAGGCAACAAAGCAAGACTCTACCTGAAAAAAAAAAAATAGCACCTGTAGTCTCAGCTACTTGGGAGGATAAAGTCAGAGTATCACTTGGGCCTAGGAGGTTGAGGCTACAGTGAGCCATGATCACACCACTGCACTCCAGCCTGGTGACAGAGCAAGACCCTGTCTCAAAAAAATTTTTCTTTTATTTTTAAATAAAAATAATTTTAAAAAGAAATAATCTCTGATCCAAGGACTAAAGGAAGAGAATGTGTTAACCAGTCCAATAAGTGGAAAGAAAATCTTTCCCCTTTCATTAATAGCATCTCAAGTCTCCCAATTACTCATCCTTAACCCACATTCCCCACATTCAATCCATCACTAACTCCTATTCAAATAACCTTCAAAATATAACTCTAACCCACACGCTTTACTACACCCCAATGGCCACCACTGCACGCCAAAAACCCTCTGCTCATCCAGGACTTCAGCACAGACCCCAAATAGATCTCCAAAAATCTACACTTGCCCCTTCCTATCCAATCTATTTACAATAGCCAGCATGGGATCCTAAAAAGGCAACTCTGATAATATCACTCCCCCCATTTATACCTTTCAGTGGCTTCCCACTGACTTTAGGAAAAATCCTAAACCTTTATAATGCCCCTCAAGGCCCTGCATGATCAGTCCCTACCCACCTCTCCAGTCTCACCCTCACCTGTGTCTCTCTCACCCTCCCTCTCTGCCCTGGCCACCCTGGCATTCCCTTTTTTTTTTTTTTTTTTTTTTTTGAAATGGAGTCTCACTCTGTTGCCCAGGCTGGAGTGCAGTCGTGCAATCTCAGCTCACTGGAACCTCCACCTTTCAGGTTCAGCCTCCTGCCTTAGCCTCCCGAGTAGCTGCGATTACAGGTACCCACCACCACACCCACCTAACTGCTGACCTCAGGTGATCCGCCCATTTTGGCCTCCCAAAGAGCTGGGATTACAAGTGTGAGCCACTGTGCCCGGCCACCCTGGCCTTCCTTTAAAGTCTCCCACACCAAACTGTCTGCTGCCCTGGGGCCTGCCCACTTGCAGTTCTGTCTGGAATACTCTCCCCATCTCCCCAACTTGGACATGCATGCCCATACTAAGGTCCCCTTGTCCTTGAATGCCCCCTTTGTGGAGATGTGTCCCTGTAGAAAATCAAATTCAGGTCCCTGGTCCCATGCTTTCCCGACACCCTACATTTCTCTGCAGCTCAGTTACACTCCATGTGTCCACACTGAGTGCTGTCGTTTCTTGTTCAATGCCCAGCTCCTCCTGAGACCACCAGGACAATAAGCTCTACAAGAACAGGAGTGTGGCTGCTTAGTTCACTGCCAGGTTTCTAGCACTAAGCCAGGTACCTGGCCTTTAGAGGCTGCTTTGTAAGGTATGACTGAATACCCCACTGTGGTAGCCGAGAGGACAGCCTCTTGTAGGGTGGCTGGTCTGGGAACTTCCTCTGGCACTCTGTCAGAGGTGCCTGACTCACCCTGCCTCTAAGGAGGCTCCTCTGAGAAAAACTAGGCAGCCCCCATGCCTTTCCCAGTTACTGCCACAACCACTCACCCCACCGAGATCACTCCCACATCACACTTTAGTCACTTATTTCCAATCTCTTCTACCATTCCTTTTAAGGGCTGTTCTCCTCTATTACTTCCAATTTCTTAAGACAGTAACCTTGGCCAGGCACAGTGGCTCACGCCTGTAATCCCAGCACTTTGGGAGGCCAAGGCGGGAGGATCACCTGAGATCAGGAGTTCGAGACCAGCCTGGCCAACATGGTGAAACCCTGTCTCTACTAAAAATAAAAAAATTGGCCGGGCGCGGTGGCTCAAGCCTGTAATCCCAACACTTTGGGAGGCCGAGACGGGTGGATCACGAGGTCAGGAGATCGAGACCATCCTGGCTAACACGGTGAAACCCCGTCTCTACTAAAAAATACAAAAAACTAGCCGGGCGAGGTGGCAGGCGCCTGTAGTCCCAGCTACTCGGGAGGCTCAGGCAGGAGAATGGCGTGAACTCGGGAGGCAGAGCTTGCAGTGAGCCGAGATCCAGCCAACTGCACTCCAGCCTGGGAGACAGGGCGAGACTCCGTCTCAAAAAAATAAATAAATAAATAAATAAATAAAAATAAAAAAATTAGCCAGGCATGGTGGCACACCTGTAATCCCAGCAACTCGGGAGGCTGAAGCAGAAGAATCACTCGAACTAGGGAGGCGGAGGTTGCAGTTAGCTGAGATCACACCACTGCCCTCTAGCCTGGGCAACAGAGTGAGACTCCATCTCAAAAAGTAAAAAATAGTAACCTTAACTTCAGTTACATGGACATCATATCCTGTTAACTTTAAAAAAAAAAAAGACATTAAAGAAAAATTATCTCCAAACATGTTGAGTTTATTTGAGAATGGGAGAAAAGGATTATAATCCAGGATGCAGCAAGCCACAAGTACATATGGTGATAGAAGGGGAAAAGGAAGCTTTTATTAGCAGAAAGGGAGAGATTTATATAAGTTGCTTAGAAACAGAGTTCACGGCCAGACACAGTGGCTCACACCTGTAATCCCTAGCACTTTAGGAGGCCAAGGCAGGCGGATCACGAGGTCAAGAAATCGAGACCATCCTGGCCAACATGGTGAAACTCCATCTCTACTACAAATATAAAAATTAGCTGGGTGTGGCAGCATACGCCTGTAGTCCCAGCTACTCGGGAAGCTGAGGCAGGAGAATCACTTGAACCTGGGAGGCAGAGGTTGCAGTGAGCCAAGATCATGCCAGTGCACTCCAGCCTGGTGACAGAACAAGACTCTGTCTCAAAAATAAAATAAAATAAAATAAACAAGTTCATGAGTTCCCCAGAGGATCAAAGCCAGCGTTGTCTTCAGTTCATTGGTAGAGATGCCATTACTGGGAAAGTATTCTTTCCAGAGCATTTTATCTGAATTACGATAGTCCTAAAAAATGTCTATGCCAGGCAAGGTGGCTCACACCTGTTATCCCATCACTTTGGGAGGCCAAGGCAGGAGGATCACTGGAGGCCAGGAGTTTGAGACCAGTCTGCGCAACATAGCAAGACCCCATCTCTACCAAAAAAAAAAAGTATTTT